CACACAGCTGGCAGGAGACAGCCTGGGCTCCACACAGCTGGCAGGGGACAGCCTGGGCTCCACACAGCTGGCAGGAGACAGCCTGGGCTCCACACAGCTGGCATCGGACAGCCTGGGCTCCACACAACTGGCAAGAGACAACCTGAGCCCCTGAATCTTCTAAACCCCCACTGATTCTAGTGCGCAAACAAATAGAAAACTACCAATCTATAGGACTTACCTGTTCACTCGGAAAAGTAAATTTCATAGTAGATCCATTTACTTCAAAGTTAATACAATGTGAAAATATAAAATACAAGTACAAGCATGTATGTCTGTGCCCATGAGCATAAAGAATAGTTACAATTACCCAATGGTATAAAATTTTCTCGAGACTAAAGAAGTTCTCTTCCAAAAGTTATGTGGCCAGGTGGTACAGAATGAAGGCCAGAAGCAAGGTAGCCAGTATCTTGTCCTCCCACACAAGGGTGCACTTTCAGGATATCCTTTCAGAGTATCAAAGTGGCCATGTCCTGAGTTCCTGGTTCTGTCCCATCCCCTTTGGGGGCCTCACCACAAGGGAACAGACCATAGAGAAAACACTGGGGCTGAGAGTGGGAAACAACCCAGTCCACGACAGGGAGTTTCACTGACTCACAAGTAAACACATTGCCTCAATGTCAGGCGCATTGATTAGCAAAACACAGCGCTGAGGAATCCCTAGCACAGAATGTCTTGATGAAGGTTGCAATGCCCCATGAGGTTTCTTCTCCATGCTGAGAACTGAAGACAGGCCAGGCAAACACTCCAACGCTAAGCTGGGCTATCCATGCTTTTTCTTTGTTTGGTTTTAACACAATCCTTTCTCTACAGTCTCTAATGCATAAGTGTTTTACTTCATCTACAAAGAGGTGAAACAGCCCAGTGTAACTGGCAAAAACAATCTTGGACACACTCATGGACTTCTGTGCTATAACAAAGGATGTGTGAAATCTGATTTTCCATCTGTAAGGCCCAGAAAATCACCGCCACCTCACAGTGCTTGACATAAAAGTATCTGCTGATATACACTCCAGGTATTATTCCCAAGTGTAGATCCAGATACACAGGCCATGTTCCTTACCATCCCCCCACCCCCACCCCCACCTCAACCCCGCCAGGACCCGCAATATGACTCAATGTTTGACTTGCCCAGGAAACTGGACCAGCCTACACTTTCTGCAGAGGTCCCTGAGAGAGGCTCCCTGCCTTTCCATCTTGTGTGTCTAAAGCAGGTGTTCAGTCGTGTGTGTGTGTGTGTGTGTGTGTGTGTGTGTGTGTGTGTGTGTATGCGCATGCATGCACGTAAGCGAGCAAGGGCACATGAGGGCATTCGTGTGCTAATGAGAGGAGGATCACACTATCAACACCCCCGCCCCATCATTAATTGATTGTGATACTACCTGCTGGGGGCTTCTCAACTTTGGAAGACCCTTGATTAACACAAAGATTTTGGAATTAAGAAAATGTAATGTAAATCTCAGATCTATTGCTAGACGGATGTCCTGAGACAAATTCCTGAATCTCTCTATCCTCCTCATTCATTAAGCCTGACGATACTGCCTATGTATTTGTTTCCTGCAAGGATTAAGCAACTGGAACACCACAGAAGACAGGCTTCATACACAGTCAGCAGGGGCTGAGCGCCGAATAAAATCAACTGCTGCTGTTTTTCATTCAGTTCTTCACATCTCTCTGCAAAGGAATTATAAACACACACAAACACACACACACACACAAACACACACACACACAAACACACACACATACATGCTCACCCCCTACCCCAACCCTCCACACACCACACACACACACACACACACACACACACACACATACTCACTCCGTACCCCCACCCTCCACACACACCAGGCATATTGATCTTGTTTTCAGGATCCTTGCCCCCTGGTAGTGGGAGGCTCCTTCCCCTTGCTCCAGGTAGCAGCAAACAGTGAGGAGCGGGCATCAGAGCCTGTCCTTACCTTCAGAGGTGTCTTTCACAGGTAGGACGGGGCGGTGGTCTCTCCTTCACTTACATTTGAGAAGCAGAATTCACACAACAGGTAAGAAAGAGTGATCCCTCCCAGTCCACAACTGTGAAACCAGAAAGAGTTGGGGCGGGGGGTGGGGGTGGGGGGACGGACGGGGGGCGGTGCTGTGAGGCTGGGCCAGGAGAATGTGATTAAAGAGATCAAACAACCAGGAAGGCTATGGGGGAGAGGGGAGCCAAAGACGCGGGGGTGGGGAAGAACAGAATAGTAAGAAGAAAAGAAATGTTAAGGCTGCAGGTGAGCTCCGCTCGGAGTGGAAGGGGTTCCAGGTCCAGAGTTGTGAGCTGGGGCGCTGAAGTCTAGGCTGCTGCCAAAAGCAGGCTGCTCAAGATCTGGGGATGCGCTAAGCTCCTGCCCAAGCCTGTGCTGACTTTTCCTCTCGCCCCCGCTCACCTATGAGCACCCCAGTTACCGGAGCTAAAGCCCTCGAGGCAATAGACCTTGCCGTGGGAAAGCCAATGGAGCGACCTCCTTTCTGCGGACTCTAAACCGCTACCACCTCCAGCTTTCCGGACCTGCGCTGCTCTTTCTATGGGTAGCAAGGCTGCGCATGCTTTTAATCCAGCACTCGGGAGGTAGGGGCAGGCGGATCTCCGTGAGCTCGAGGCCAGCTTCCCGGTCTACAGCGTTCCAGGACAGCCTGAGCTATATCTTAGAGAGAAACCCTGTCTCGTAAAACAAAACAAAACAAAACAAAACAAAACAAAACAAAACAAAACAAAACAAAACAAAACAAAAAAATGGAGAGAAGAAAAACCACCGGCACCACACCGCACCCTTCTGGCAGAGGGCGCTAAGAACCTTGCACCAACGGAGACCAAGGGCTGGAGAGAAAGAGGGAGGCGGACCATGGAGGAGAGTCCTTAAGACTGCCGGGCTCCCAGAGCCAACAGAGAACCAGTACCAGCTTGGATGGGACGGAATTCACAATTGGAAAGTAATGGTGAAATTTTAAATTGGCCAAAAGAAAAGGAAGACAAACAGTATTTCTAGATTTTTATAATAAGCTAGAACTCTTTAGACCCCCACGAACAGAATGCTCGTAGAGTCAATGATACAATTTTTTTTTTGCCCAATCAAAAATAATTCGCCATATAATAAATAGGAAAAGCATAACTTCGCTGGGATAATAAAGTGTTGCGCAAACTTCAACACTCCGACGACACAGGACTTGTGCATAAAGAGGACCATGATTTCCTTCCTCATCTAATAAAGGATGTTTACAAGCAGCAGCATGGAGAAATGTTTTGGTTTCTGTGACTAGTTACCAGAAAATGCTGTTCGCTCTCAGCTGCACAAGCACTTTGAAGAAAATGTTTAGAAGTATAAGGGCAGGACGGGATAAAGTGGAAGCACTGTCTTCCACAGAAGATGTTTTTAGATGGGTCACCCTTTGAACCCACCAAAACAATAAAATGAAACTAACTATCTTGAGTTTAGCAAAACCATCAGATACAGGTTCACTACTGAAAACTCTGCCTATAGATGAATTGCTAGATAACCTACTTTAGAATCTATGGTACGGGCTCCATATACATTATTAGCCAAATCCTAGGTGGAATTTTCTAAGAAACTAAGAATATTTCTCTAATATAAATATAAATGCAAATTGTTTTAAATGGTCAGGATAATCTTGACAAGGAACCAATAGTAATTTTCTTGGGTCATTTTTGGTGGGTGGGGGACTAGGTATAATAAATCATATAACTGGAGAGAATTTTATTTTTAAGAGGTCTTCATTAAGGTAAATCACAGAATACAGTCAGTTTCACGTGGTGCACAATGACATTTCACAATTCCAAACATTAGCGCTTACTGAGTTGTTTCTGAGGTCCAAATTCTTCTATTTTCTGTTAGCCAAAGAATCCAATGTGGTATTACATTTCATCAGACCTAAGAAAACTTTTACTTGAGGAGATTAAGGAACTTACAACCACAGAGCTAGTTATCCAAAGCAAGGATTCTTTCCTGTTCCCACATTCTACTGTGTGAACAGTTATACACACAGCCTGCTTTTCCTAGGTCAGTGTTTGGCCATTTAATAAGAGTAGATAACATTACTTAAGAACTCAACCATCCACTACAGTGGGGCAAGAGGATTTAACAAGAACAACCACAGGATGGATGCACAGGTAAGTTTGAATTCCACACCTTCTTCAGCTAAAGCATCAGCCTTTAAACTGAACTTTGAACGTTTACTTGATACACCAACGTAAGGATTAAGAGCACGGGGTCCCTAGAAAGATAGGTTACTCTACATCCTTTACACAGATTTCTGGGTATACAATTTATCTGCAGTCAGGACTCCGAAATATATGTTGACCACGAGTTCAAGATTGCTCTTCATTTCAAGAGTCTATCTATTCTGCTTCCAGTCATTTCAGCATCAATCCCACCACTTAGTGAGCAACCCAACTAAGGCAGGACTCATATCCACCAGCAAAACTCGAGGTACCAGTAAGACACCTGCTTGCCTCCGGATCCACTCCTAGGTGTCTATGGCACCAAAGTATTGTATTCTCCTGAAGACGACTGTCCAGAGGACCTTTGACTACAAATTGCTTGTTCTGCCAAAATTCCCTATACATTTCGCAGAAATGTCACAAAATGTAAGTTGTCTCACGGTGACAAAACCTCTTTGAGTCAGTAGGTAGGAGAAGCGCTGGTGCCGCCGCAGTGTGCCAGACTTGTTTCTCATGGTGGCCGCTTTAGCAGGCGTCTGCAGCACAAGCTGAAATGTGGCGTTCTGAACATGTAAATTAACATCTGTAAATGTTAAAGGAGTTCAGTACCATGCCACAGAGTTTCATTATGGTGCTAAATAGGAAAAATTTAGAGTCAGTATTGTACAATCCCAGCTATACAAATTATATGAACACATTGGAAAGATATATTAAAGTATGGTCTTACTTGCCAAAATTCATCTTAAGATGACAGGGTTACGATTGCTTTTTATTATATTTTCTTTCACACTGTCTTTTTTTTCAAATATACCTTTATTACTTTTACAGTGAGAAAGTATTTCTAAAGAGAATAAAACTATATGAAAGACACTGGAACTGGAAAAGGCTTGATGGTCATGGCAATTTAGATAAGGCAGTCTAACAAAATTTAGCCATATTGACACGACAAAACTGCGTAAGTGCCAAAAAACAGAAAGAAATTCTGGCGTGTTGGGAAATGTGATTTACCACTGGGGTTCCATCTCTGGGCATGAGAACACTCAGAATTCTATTCTAGAACCATCAGCTTGCTATTCAGAAACCAGATTATTGATCCTCATCAATTAAAAGGAAGAATAAAGACAGACATGGAAGAGAAGAAAAGGCACAGGGATGACCGTGTGCCGCAAAGGAACGAAACAGACAAAGGAAAGCATAGAGAAAGGAGGCACGGCCCCACCCACAAGTAGGAAAACTACTGAAGTAGTTTGCTAGCTGGGGCCTGGGGCTGCTACCCTTGACATCCCAAGTCTCCACAGCTCCACTCCGCTGCCTGCTGCAAGGGCACAGCCAGCTGTGGGTGATCAGGACCACAACTCCAAAGCGTTTCGGGTAAGCACGCCTTGTCTTCCACTCAAAGGAACCACACCAGATGCCATCTTGGGGCATCTGTTTGGCACTGGCATCTGGTACCTCACGTGCTTCCAAAATTTGGAGCTTAGAGATTGCTTGTCGGCCACGTGGTCTTCCCTCCACTTGATGGTCCCCTGCATTTTCACGAGATGCTGGAGAGACTCTTGAAGGTCCCCAACCTGCAGTCGGCTGGCCTCACCCACAGGTTCCATCTCAATGAGAATCACCTTGGAGCTGTTCTGGATGAGGGCACTGTGCAGGGCAACCTCCTGTTCGTAAGCAAACTCCTTGCTGTGTGTCATGTGAGGGGCCAGGACAAACATGTGTCTTCTGCTGTTCTGGATACTGCTTTCCACCACGGTGGCTGCATCTACAGTCAGAAGATGGACAGAGACCTCCTGTCATTTTTTTTTTAGACATTCAATGTTTGGATCATGAATGTTCTGAACATTCAAAAGTTCTTATTGTTGTAATCTGTTGGGAGATTCTGAGCTGATCGAGTCATATTCAGATATCTGAAATGACGGTCTTCATTTTTGCTACAAGAATATCCATCCAAAGGTTTAGCCAGATAAATTAATGTTAAGGAAGAGTCCTCCCAGCTGCCTGGAAAAGTAAAGGTCTCTTAGTCCATCATTTCACGGAGGACTTAGAATTCAGGTTCATTGGAATTTAATTTTTAAGTCTACTATCTTCTTAGGCTGGCTAGCGACATGTTTTTAAGAGGGCCAGCATTTTAATTCATACATCGAAGAGTGCAAACTCAGCATTGATCCTCTCAACTGACCAAACTTACAAGAGAAGTCCTGGGTCACTTTACCCCACATGATCTCTGTTTAGAGAATTCATTCAATTTATGCTTTAAAAAATCATCCTAAAGATGTAATCTTAAGAAGAGTCATATCTCCTTTCAAAGTCAACCTTTGTACCTTGACCAGGCCAAGGTGTGTTTACTATTAAGTACATATTCTAAGCTAAATTTCCTATTACAGCTCACACATTATGAAAATGAGAATTACGTCTATTCATTACTATTAAATGATCTTCAAAATGTTAAGGATGTTAAGTTTAAAAATGTAGCATAGGAAATGGTGTGTATATCTCACCTGATAAATTAAAATGCTAATGAGAACATATAGCTGTCACTACATGATCCATATAAAGTTTTTTATATTTAAAAATTTTTAAATTGAGATAATATAGTAGATGTCATAGTGATTTTTTTTTAACAAAGTGTGTTTCTGCGGCTTTCCTTTCCTCATCTCTCCCACCCATTGATGTTTTCATCCCCTCTTACTGCTGCCCCAGATTCCTTTCCTCTTTCCTGTTCCATGTGCCCCACTCCCATCCCTCTCATTACCTAACATTACCCTCTCTTGGTCTCCTTTCCAGACTTTTTTCCAATGAATTTCAATCCCCAGCCCATGATGGCACCCTTTACCTTGTCCAGGCAACAGGTCTCTCCCATAAATGCATAACTTGTAACCACATTTTTTTTCAAGAACGTCGGGCAGAGTGCGATGAACAAAGTACTCCACGGAGGTGGTTCCTGCTGAGCTCCCCTCAAAGACTCGTGGGTAGATGACGTAGGCATCATAGAGCTTGCCATCTGAGAATGAGACCAAAAAGTACCACTTTGTTACAGGTTCTAAACTCTCTCCTTCATCTGTTGAGAGACTGCTCTTAGCAAGTTGTACGGCTGTTAGTGAATATGCTTCATTCCCCCCAAATACTCTTAAAATCAAGAGACACCAACAACCCACAGTTATAAAATGTGGCCAGGAAATAACAGATGTGGATCTAAGGTTTGTTTATTGGTTGGTTGGTTAGTTGGTTGGTTGGTTTTTAACATCTGAGCTTGAATGGTTGAGAACAGAGAGTGTTCAGGACACTTCAAATGTGTTCATAAGCTGCCAGTTTTTATCATGATGGATGGAGCTTCCTTCTGTGCCTGTTGCTTGTTTCATTTTCCCCACACAGCCTGCCTCACGTAGGCACATAACAGAGGTTCAAAGACGTCCAGTGGATACCCAAAGCCACAGGTAGTACTTGGCCCTCTATTCTACATTGTCTCCTAGACATGCAGACCTAAGACTAATTTATAAACTTGACACAGTACGAGTTTAATAGCCACAACTGGGAATCAAGATGGAGCCATGGACTCTGACAAAACTGGCAGCATCAATAGTCTAGAACTTTATGGCCATTTTCTCAAAGTAAAACAACTATTCCTCAGACTCAAGCACTGTGGGACTTCAACAGCAAACCTGCTAACTAATACAGCCAGTGGCTAGTGGGTGAGTAGCATACATGCCATGCCATGGATACACTGAACGAACAGATGGTTCATGTCCCAGGAAAGACAGAGCAGGACACTGTGACTTTATCACTCGTCTCACAGCTGTGCTCAACTTAAAACCCACACTTGGCTTCTTTCAGTGATTCTTCATTTAATCTTTTTTAAGCTTCAGTTGACCTTAGGTAGCTGAAATCCCAGAAAGCCAAATCAAGGGTATGTGGAAATCATAATACTCTCTCAGAAGAAGTTCACGTGCTAGAGGTCAATAGTGAGAGAAGTCAAATTTCATAAGGGGTCGGAACTCCCCACAGGTCAAACAACCACCGGCTAATTGAGAGCGTCAAGCACTAAGATCTAACATGTTCCCTTTCAAATGAAGGCAAATATTCCCATGTCACCAGAACTCTTTTTGCATGGGTAAAGTTTGTGTAAGTGTGTACTCATGGGGTGAGAATTCAAGGAAAATTTTCATGTGTCCTGTGTTCCTCCTTCACGTGCTTGAGCCTGAAAATCCATGATGATTTTACTGTTGTCCCTTCATAAAGTTTTATCAACACATATTTTCCAAAACATTGAAACCTGTGTGGGCCTTGGGCAGAGTCTGTCATCAGGGACTCACTAAGAATAGTAATTCCACCAAGGAGGAGATTTGAGATGAATGTCAAGGGTACAAGTAGTAATGGGAGAAGCATGGAAAATGACCTGTGTAGACTCAAAGATCTCACTGAGGGGGTTACAAAGAAAATGAAATAGGGTTTAGCAGCATAACATCAATAGACAAAAAACCCATAGTCACTGTGGAACCTTTCCTTGTGAAAAAAATCTTGAACTTGATACTCACCATTCTGAATTCTGTAAGGTGTCACTATGTCCCTCCAGAACAGAGCAACCTCAATCCAGAACACTTTTAAGACTATCACCAAGACATTGATTAGCATGAGCAACAGACTACATCCTGCAACTATGTAGTAGGTGCTTTGGTGATTGGCTATCAAGAGATGGAGAGATGAGAAAAACTATTATTAGTATTAGTAAAATAAGACAGAATGGAAGGATGCATGAATGTTGACATCCCTTGAAGCCACAAGACATTCTCACTCAATAAACCAACATTGAATATTCATGAATACTTTCAAAATCAACCAACCAATTGTTTTAGCCCATACTCTGTGCAAGTCTTGAGGCTTGGTAGCACAGTGTTCTTAAAGGTGAAGAAGACACACAGACACATGTAAACCCAAGTAAGATAGGAGATCAAAAGGGATTTCAGCTGATGGAGACATTTTGAAGGGGGCCTGCTCTTTGCCAGAAGGAGTAAAGAAGGAATCCTGTAAAATGAGATCACTAAGGGTTGGAGAGGAGTCAGAAAGATCGCAGAAAAGCTTCCCCTCCCTTGTCCAGAGAGGATGCTGAGCAATATGCAGAGGTAGGAGTATGCGTTCTGAGAGCTTTATCAATTCAGTTTGGGGAAATAGTGGAAGATGTGGTGGGGGCTATGCTTGACCAGAAATCTTGCTATGGAATTTGTCATGACATGAAGGAGTGGAGTGTTGAAAATGAGAGCTCTTTTACCAAGATTAATCTGGTGGTAGTAGAAGGCTTTTTTATGGGAAGAAGACACATCTAATGAATATAGTAGGGTGAGTAATTGAGGAGAAGATAAGGATATGAACTCATGAAATAGTAAGAAAGGGATGACAAGGTCGGTGTTGGCAACACTAAGGCGTGTGAGTTGGTCGTCGGTCAGAGGGTTACTGCCTCTAGAGGGTGGGGGATATAGAAGAGAGGACTGCAGGTCACTGAGTGTGTGTAAGGGAGAAGTCAGTTTACTGGGTTCTGTAATGCTCCTGCCTCCCACTATTGAGATCTCCCTTCAGCTATCTCTGGCTTAGGTCCACATTTCTTGTTTCACAAAACGCAAAACAACGTTGCTTCCCACTTCAGGAACTTGTAAGACACATGTACAAGTCAAACACAGGAGCTGTCACCATTCATGATATTCTTGGCAGTTTTGTCTTTATGATGCTCATAGATTTATTAGAAGTGGTGCTGCTTACACATGAATAGCAAGAGACTCATAAGTCTGACCTGGTAAGTGATTTTTTTTTTATCTTATCTGTAAGCCCCCAGGTACAGGCTCCAAGATCTGACATGAAAATCTCTACTAGTCCTTACAGATTCCTCTATCACCCCTGATAGTTTACCGTCTGTGTGTATGCAGGGCAATAAACTCAAGACACCAAAATCTGGTGATCCAAAGATGAGAGCTCAAAACAAGCCAGAGGTTGCTGTCTTTATTTCTTCAGGTTCAAATAAGAACTTCCCAAGGAGCTCATTTGGAAGAACTGTCTAAAAGTCCAGCCAGATATGTGCTAGGGACACGTGGGAAGTCGACTTCTTACAGGGACTCTTGCTAGTAAAGAACTATGTGGACAGTCGAACACCTTCAACAAGAGGCAAGACCTTGATTTAAGATGTCCCTGAAAGTTGACACTCAAATCTTATGATTTTGTAAAGAACAAGCAATTTTCTCATCAATGGCTAGACACAAATGCTTCTTGTCAGTGTTTATAAACAGCAAATGACATCTGGGCTGAGTCCTGAGTCTAGGATTACAGTACTTGCTAATCCCTCAGGCTCACTCTGCCCTTTCTTCCTCACTTAGTGAGTGAAATTAACAGACAGTATAGGCATGGGGGTGAGAAGAGAAATGAGAAATTCTAAGGGAAAGTAATTAGATCTGGCCTGAACATGGGAAACTTGGAAAATGTGTATGTGCTATACTTATCAGAGACACTAAATTTGCACGTAACAGCATTTAGAAATATGCAGAAGGAGACTTTTTAAAAAGTTTTTGTTATTTAAACTTAAGGAATACCAGAATTTCAGAAACAAAAGAATCCATTATGATAATTCAACAGCAGTGGAGACAAATTTTATTCAATACACTGAGTTGTTGAAATAGTATAAACATGTTGACTTGAATAATAACAGGTGAATTAAAAATAAGCCAGAGAGTACAAAAATCACATACACACATACAAAACAAATATAACATTCCAGGTAACACAAATATAATTCCAATACAAACATAACTAGAAAATATTCAGAAATTTAGACAAATTAGCAGAGGAGGGTACCAAGGACACAAGGTCATGCTGGGTGAGAGTAGGGATGTGGCATCTTTTATCCTGTACAAATCACTGTGCTCACCACTGTCCGAGAACACAATGTTGTGGTCCTCAGTCATCCTGAGTAATACCACTATCAGGGCAGATACCTAATGTCTTGCTAAACATGATAACACTCAGAGTCATCTATGAGTCCGGTCATCACAAGCCTGGCCACCTACGAATTACAACATTTTATTTTTAAAGAAAAATTTACAAGTCAGAGGCTAAAACCAAAACAAGAAACCTCCTGGCTGGGTTTTTAAAGGGTGACACTTATCTTTAAACCTAGCACCTGGGAGGCAAAGGCAGGTGGAACTCGGTGAGTTCAAGGCCAGATTGGTCTCCATAGTGAAAACAAACAACAAAACAAAGGAAAATAAGGAGGAGCCCAAGTACCACACCTGGCAGAGACACAGCATGGCTATGTCAAACTGGTACACCCACCCTCCTTTTAATCCACGTATTCATCCAAATGAATGCTCCACACGGTGCTATGAGCTTTTAGAGTCAGTATCTCTCTCCCTCCTCCACCCTCTCAATATTTAAAAGAATTTTAATTTTAATTTTTGCTTACATTAATTGTATTGCCATTAGAGGAGTGGTAAATATTATAAAAGAGGGTGATGAGGGTACAAATATTGTCCTCTGCACTCTTTGGAAATGGACTCACACGGGTCACCGACCTATCAGGATGACCGTAGCTGCAAACTCAAAGACCAAGCAAGGACACTGAAAAGTGCTCTGAATGGAAAGTTTGTAAGTTGTCGTCCGTGACGAGATTGCACAAAGAGACACCACAGGGTTAGTCCTGCTTTGAACCCAATATACACACCAAAGCCCCTTGGTGACCGCGCAAAGGATGACTGAGGAGGAAGCCACGGACAGACGGAAAGGAAGGAGAGAGGGAGCGAGAACAGGCAAAGGAAGATGGAGGGCGGGAAGAGGAGTGTGGGGAGACAAGGGAGGGCGGGGAAGACAGAGAGGAGGAATAGAGCAGCCCAGAGTCCTCCTGGGAGACAGAAACATTCTGGGAAGAGCAGATTTAAAGAGCATCCCCAAGAGGAGAAACCCATTTCACGAGACTAGCCAACTAGTCCCCATGATCGTGATGGAGTCTCTGGAACCAAACCGCAGCACACAGTCCTCTGAGAAAATGACTGCACTTTACAGTTGATTCTACCAATTCAGTCAAGCTTAGCGGGAGGGACATGCCTTACTTGGCTGTTTTTCTCTCAGTTGCAAGGTGTGCCTTATCATGCCACGATGGTTCAGGGCCAGACAGTCATATTTCCGGGACAAATCCTTGTCTGTCACATTAGTTATCTTTAACACTGAGGCTAAACAATCGATGTCACCGCTGGAACTGAAAAAGCAACAGGTTACTGATAATGTTTCCCTGGCAAGTGCCAGCTGTGAGGTGGGAGAGGGGGCTGTTTCAACTCCAATATAAAAATAGCTGGGCGTGGGGATACACGCCTCTAATCCCATCATTCAAGAAGCAGGAGGGTCTCTGTGAGTTTGAGTCTAGCCTGGTCTACAAAGTAGGCTCCAGGCTAACCAAGATGATATAGTAAGACCTTGTCTCAATAAATAGATGATAGATAGATAGATGACAGATAGATAGATAGATAGATAATAGATAGATGATAGATAGATAGATGATAGATAATAGATAGATAGATAATAGATAGATGATAGATAGATAGATAGATAGATAGATAGATAGATAGATGAAATACCTTTGATTTTGTTCTTTCTCCTCTTGAAATCTTGCTTTGTCATACTTTTCAACATTCTTTTCATTAATCCGCCACAGGACTTTAGCCAAGAACTGAGAGCCTTTTCCAAGGCAAGCTAAGCAGGTGATATTCATTGGTTTTCCTAGATGGGAAGTGAAGAAATCCACAAGGAAAGTTAAATTCTGCAAGTGGCATCAGTTTCACTCCATGTAGTAAACCTTCTGCCGTCCGGCCCACTTCCCTTCCTCATCTTCCTGTGCCTTCTTTGCTCTCTATCACATCCCCACCAGGGTCTCCATTTTCCTCACCAACACACCACCCTCTGGCCTCAGGAAACACTACCTGCCCTGGCATCACAGCTTCCGCAATCATGAAGGAGTTGCTGATAGCTGAAACGTGAGTTTCTTTTTCCCTGGTTCCTTCCACATTTTCCCCTTCCCACAGAATCCCCTTGTCACTGCCTTTGGAGATAAAACCGCTTTGCCCAGCCCAACTATTATCCTAGATGTAAAACATTCACAACGAATAAGCTCCACTGCTCCATCCCATTGCCTTCAACTCGAGATGTTCTTTCGGAAGTGAAAACATCAGAGCTGATTTTGGGCGCAGTTGTATAGTTAGCCCCTGCTTCCTGAACTACAGGCTCCCACCAGGAGCTTGCCTAAAATAAGGCACATAATTGGCAAGGGGACCTGAGAGTCTCTGGAACAGCAACGCTATGAAGTAAGGATTAGAGGCTACCACACTACAGACAGAAATGGTAGTGGCCAAGACTTGAGTTGAGACAAAAATCAAACGCTGTTCTTTGGCAAGGAAGAGGGTGGCAGGTAGGATTACAAACAGAGAGTTATATATTATCTTACTCCTCAGAAATACAGGAATATCAGTGTGGGAGTCATAGATTACAGATGGGAGAGGAGAGAGACGTGACTCATCATGGTGTTTCAGATCCCAAGTCTTTTTCATCATATCCAGCTTCAAATGGAACTCAACACGAGAAGAGATGTAGAGATTCATAAATCTATTCTTATTCTTTTGTTATCACTCATCTATGACCTTGGGGCGTGCCTTTGAGCATCTCTGAACCTAAGTTCCTCCAAAGTAAAGTAAGGACATCTGCCCATTGGGTAGAAGTGACCATAAAAAGAGATGCTTAAATGAGGACCATGAACTCTAAGGTCCTAATACAAATACAGTGTTGTGACAGGGACAGGTATTTCCATACTGCCACCTCACATGATCCCCAAGTTCCCATCTACCAATTGCATGACTCTTCCATAGGAAACTAGACCCAGAATCAGAAGGAAATATTCTCCAGGTTAACAGGGAGTTGTTTAAAATTTCTTACCTATTTCTACTTCAATGGTTTTGTTGTGTGGAGGGAATTTAATTACTGGAAACACAGAAAAGCTTTTTTCTTGAAATTAAAAAAACAGAAATAGAATCTAAGTATTATTGCATTGATTAGTCATCAATATAAGCAAATTTTTTCGTATTTCTATTTTATTTCACAGTATTGTTGTCAACTGTTTTGAAAATAACCTTTGGCAATTCACACACACACACACACACACACACACAAATGAAACAAATATCTTAAACAACACCTTTTCTGACTACTATGATACCTTTGTAACATCTTCTGTTCTCTTCTATATCATTAAAACAAATGCTGGTCTAACCCATTAGTTGTATGACCTGCAATTATTTGAAAACCATAATTCTGTTGGATAGGCATATATGACTATATGACCATACTGAGAAGAGGAAGTCAATAGGCTCGGGAAAGTGACGCGCTGCTCACCACCTTCCGCCACCATGCTTATCCTCGGGAGGGCTCCTTCCTGTGTCCCCTGAGACTGAGGCACAGGGAAGTAGGAGGTCTCTTGGAGCACAGATGAATTTTTCATCCCTAGCTGGTCATTAATTTCAGGGTGTTGCGATTAGGAAACGCTACAGGAGTTGACATTAGACAAGGAGAGACACAAACACAGCTGTGGCCGGATGGCGCTTATTTTCCAGCAATGGAGGACTGAAGAGGCTCTGAACAAAAATTTTCTTCAGTATTGATTAGTCCTTTCCTTGTTCACCGCCACTTGGATGGTGAGACCCTCCCCTCAGTCTCCTCTACAGAGGCAACTGTGCCCAGAAGACCTCAGTTCTGTCAACGCCATCAGATATGATTAGAAAATCATGCCCTCAAGTGGCTTCTACAATATTGAAAATGTGTTTGGAAAAAGTTCTTTTCTAAGCAAATAGCCTACTTTGAAGATGCCGATGATACCAGAAGCACATAAACCATGACTGAAAACCACTCTGCAGTGTGCATAAAGGTCATGGTGCCCTGTGACACTCAGGCCTCTCTATCTGCGGTTTTTACATCCATTAACTCAACCAGCTATGCAGGGACATCAGTTGCGTCTTCGCTAAATGTAGTACAAAGTTTCCTCGTAGCAGGCAATATGCTTGTCTATGCAACTTCACACTGGTTACTACAAGCCATCTAGGGATGAGGTAGAGCTTAAGAGGGGGGATGAGGGCTTCTGAGGAAATATATGAAACGAGAGCGTCCAGGATTTAGGTAGATGAGTATTTTGGAAATCAGTCCAAAACAGGGGTGGGGAGAAGTAAATTCAGACTGCTTTATCCTTGAAAATCAATCTCCAAAGGGGGGTGGGGTGGGGAATAGCTATCTATGGCTTTGGTTCAATAATATATCTTTCCTTGGAATTCTTAAACCTTGTGTTGTACAACAGTAACTTCCTGTCACAGTAGAGTGTGTGGATGGGAGCCAGAAGGGCATAGAATATGGACAGAGGATAGAAAATACAACAGGAAATATTTGCTTCTCCCTTCTCGTTTTTGTTTGGCTCCCGCACCTTGCTGAAGCCAGGAGCTTTACCTTGGACCGTGAATGACCGGGTTGCCGTCACGTTGTAACTGGTCCCGTTCTCCGTGTGCGTGAATTTACACGTGTAGTCCCCTTCATCGTCTCGCCCCACGTTATTAATGAACAAGTATGCTCTGTGTGCTTTGTACTTTGGTTCTTGAAGAGCTTCGCAGTTCTGCAGCAATGACCGGAAAAACATCCCGTTTCTCTTCTACTGAGGTTTTCACTTTCCGCTACATCTCCCCAAATGTCAAACTTTTACCTTAAACCACTGTACAGGCGCTGTCCAATTATAGTAGGAGATTGTTGGACAAGTTATCTTGGAGTTCTTTTCTGATCCACTTACTGTTTTGTACATCAAATGATCGGGAACGTTGCAGCCTGTTATCTTTCTATGTATGGTAACATTCATGTATTCAGTCATATTAAAGTCGGGGCTACGGAAAGAAGGCAAGCATTTAAAAGTGTTACCTGCTACCACGAGATAGCTTAATCCAACACCACCCCTTGGGCAGTGCTACTCTTGCAAAAAAATGATGGATACAGTTCTTCTCTTATGACAAAATAATCATCAAAATCTTGAGCTTTTAAAGACTTCATTTGCTACACCAAAGATAAAGCAAAGCCTTGAAAATGGCTTTACCAGATCCTCATCACCCACTGACATGCTAGGATCCTAACCAAAATATTTGTTGGTGATTGTTGAGCCAGACACAGAGCTAAGCACACTTTGACATCATGTTATTCTCACAGCGATGGTTTTTTGTTGTTGTTTTGGAACATGATGCTACCATATGGGTTTTACATACGAGGAACTGAGAGACAGAGAAGTCACGTGGTGGCACTGCACACCTAACTGGTAGAAGAGCTTGGGTTGGAACTGTCATCTTCAAACCTAGGCACTAAGCTGTAACTAGGCTAACGTGAGACTCTGTGAGTAGCAGAGATGCTGTGAGATCTAAGCACAAGGCCATTGCAGTGCAAACTGAGGGTTTATAGACACAGAGCCTGGGTCTCTGCAGTCTCTCTCTTCGTCTCAGGTTCTGGTATCTACACCTTTTCGCCCAACACAGAACTTTGGGATGCCAAATGTCTGGGCTTCCACTTGTTAGTTTTTCTTACTCTCAGACCACAGTTAGTGATAACTCATTGTTCTTGGGTCACTAGAAAAGCGGGACATTTTTCTATTTAGAATGTATATGCATATATATGGCCTTGCTGTGGTATGTTCAATAGCCCATCACCAGTCAGGCTGTTGGTCTTCTCGGGAGTACTTTCTGGTTCAAATCACTTCACACATTTAACCATTCCTCTGAGGGGCAGAGCAGAGAGGAAGCAAGGACAGCTGGAGCCCCGATCATTAACGAGAAGGGAGCAGGCACAAGGCTCACAACGGATTCCTGCACAGTACCTTCTGACCACGCAAGCATAGATCCCAGAGTGAGTCACTCTGGCTGGTAGAAACTTCAGGCGGTCTCTGGAGACAACGATCCCATTGCTTTCCTGAGTAGAAATACTCTCATTTGTACTTGAGTTAAACCATTCCACATGATCAAGCGGGCCTCCGCCTTGGGGGCATCTCACAATTAAAGCCTCATCCTCCAGACCCCAGACTGGTTTACCTACAAAGAAAGTATGCACACGACCCTGAAGTGCCCATGTGAACAAAAAAAAAAAAAAAAAAAACCAAAAAAAAAACACAGTTCTTTTCATATAACTCAATGTTTCCATTCTCGATTAGATTTTTAAAGAGGCCATATATTATGATGCTTTGAAAAATATTGTCAACAGTTAAAAGCCTTTACTACATGTACTACATGGTGCAGTAAAATAAGGAATCAGTTTTGAGCTGATGTTCTCCTTCGCTCCTAGGGGAAAACACCTATATTCACCCAAACACGTTGTCAGTCAATAAATCCCCGTAATGCCTGCCACATGCAGGTACTGTGCTCAATCTTGATATACATAACTCAAAAATTATAATCCACTCACAAGAGGGAATTCCTACTGTGAGATTTATGACAAAGAATGTGCGAAGAGGAAATAATTTTGCTGCACACAATTCAGCCCAGAGCACCTGGAAGCAAGCAACTGAAACGCAACAAATGTCCCCAGAATTACTTAAGTTAAAAAAACATACAACTTAGCTGAGCACCAATACTTACTGCTCTTGGTTACTGAGGAATACATGGAAACTGTCAGAACTGCCAAAACCCAAAGCCCCATTCTCCGCTTGTCAATCTCGTGCTGGTGATCGATAGATCAGAGGCACAGAATGGTCACGATGGACTCGCCAGGTGTTTGATGACTGCTGTCTGACTTAGGGTCCAGAAGAGAAGTCACTGTAGCCATTGAAAAATAAATCATATAAAACCACAAGTAAAATATTTATCTTGCCCTGCTTTTTACTTACTAAAGATTGTAAAGGAGAATCAGTCAATGAACACGTATTTATTAAATTCGCTTCTGCATAAGAGCAGGGTCTCAGGTGTCCAGTGTCACATTCATTCCGACTGAACTTGGAACTAGAGAACAGCTCTCACAATTAGATTACTTCACAGTCATTTCTTCCCAGTCTCTTGAGCATACCCATTAAGAAGCTAAATTAAGAGGAAAGCAAACAATTTTTTACATTTGAAAAAAAAATCAGAACCATAAAATTGAGTGAATACTAGAAAACACTGTATCATGCCAAACCACAGTCTGCTATTTTACACTCTGGTACACACAGATAACCGCCACAGAAGCACTAAGGAAGGAAAATTTGAACTAAAACTTGAGCCAAAAAGCCACCCAAGCCTGCTGCCCAAACTTTCAAAGAATTGCCACTGCCTCCGCGTGTTCTCAGGGGCCACAGAGCATCGCTGGAGGTCTGGAGACAAGAAACATTGGCTTTCTGACAGAAGAATTGGTTGCTGTAGCCTTTCCCTTCAGCCACCAGTGAAGGGGCACAGGCAGGAATAAATGTGAAAAATCCTCATTCATTTCAAGAGAGGACATTTCTTTGACTTGCAGATGATTTTTCTTTTACAAATTTCAGATAGCCCTCAATTCTTACCCCAGTGAAGGGCTGGAGAGAATGAACTCAGGGCACGGAGCCTGCTTCTGAGCCCCAGGAGCTCTGCCGTCAGGTTTCCGTGGACTACTGTGTGGACATGCTCCTTCCTTCATTTTAAACACACAGACGTCTTGGAATTTTCTACCCCACCCATCACGAAATTTGAGTTTTAGCCAAACTCCATGACTTGTTCGAAAATGCTGCTGTATCACTTACTAAGAATTTTTAAACTTACCACATAAATATTTAATCATAAGGACAATGTTAAAAGCCATTTCGGGAGAACTGCCTAAATTACTTCCCCCTGTTTTAGCAGGGTCACTCTGGCTGAGGTAAACAACGCTGTTTATTTCCTCAGTGTCTCAATGTTCAGTTCCAAAATGACACACACACACACACACCAGACTGTCCTTCAGCTACTCCCTGGCAGGGCCTCTGGCTGACACCTGTCAAGGGGCACAATCAACCTTTGTGGTGTGGGCAATTTCACAAACTACCACGAATGGCAGGTAAGAAAGGGCAGGAGTCGGGGAGGTGAGCCCTGAGATGCAAGAGGACTTCACGTTACATTGCTCAGAAATGTTCTATAAGAGCCAAGCCTTTAAACCCAGCACTCGGGAGGCAGAGGCAAGTGGATCTCTGTGAGTTCGAGGCCAGCCTGGTCTACATAGGAGTTCCAGGACAACCAGGGCTGTTAACACAGAGAAAACCTGTCTCAAAAAATAAAAGAGAGAGAGAGAGAGAGAGAGAGAGAGAGAGAGAGAGAGAGAG